TATATATTTGCACAAACGGTGTGCTATCTCGAGACACCGACCACGGATTGCAAAGGTAGCGGTTGGGACAGCTCGGGCAAAATGTTACTTGTTGTGCGCAAGTTTTAGTTTGCAATTTGGTGCCGAGATGGTGAAATGGGCTCGAGTCTGCTGTGTATTTTTGGGCGCGCAGACAGACACCAGACACCAGACACCGGACAGACAGCCATGGAGTAATTTTCACGCCCCTAGTCTAGGCATGAAAATTATTCTTTTTCTCGTGCGCACATACTCCACCCACGATCCCTCTCAACAGCTTTTTTTTTGCAAAACAACAAAACAAAAAGCGTACCCCTAACGGGCCACGCTTTTTAACAAAAAAAAAACTATTATAAAAAAAAAGGAATCGCGGCGAAATATCGAACAGACCGCGGCCGCACATTGCGGTTGTGCGGTTGTTCACGGAAGCTGGTGCTGCCGCCCGCTGCACACGGTAACAGGCACACGACGAGACACAGGGCCACTACTCCCGATGACGGTGGTACGGCCTCGCACTGGAGCGGGTGCACGCCGCACCGCCGTCGATCGCCGCAACACACGGGTGCAAATCGATAGCGCGGGCTTGTGCGTTCCAAGTCGTCCACACTCGGCGTGGAGCATGTGTGAGAAGGAGCTGGCAGGAGTGGGAGGAGTTCATCAAACCTTTAGAGGAGGATGGGTCCACCAAGGCGCGGTATCGTATGAGCCCGAAGGCGTTCAAAGGGCTGTACGAGATGCTGCGGGGACGTCTTGAGTGCCATAGACCCAAAGGGCGTGGCCACAACGGCACCATAGCTGGGGAGTGGGCGCTGGCTAGCACGTTGCGGTGGCTCGCAGGGCACGGCGTCAGCGCTGCGGCTGATGGTCCCCACATGGCCACGAGCACAGCATTTGCGAAGATTAAGAAAGGGCTGGATGCCATCAACGACTGTGGGAGGCTTCGGATAAAGTGGCCGAGAACGGAGGGGGAGCTGCCAGCGAAGGCGCGGGGGTTTGCTGCTCGGAGTTCCCAACTTGACCCAGTCCTGAAGCGCTGTGTGGGAGCATTGGATTGACTCCTTGTGCGACGCAAGAAGCCTAGCGTCACCGAACATCCTTGTCCAGATAGGTTCTTTTCAGAGCACAAGATGACAGTGGGCATGAACTATAATAGGTGCGACAACTACATGGTTCGAACCTAGCATGCAGTAGACTGCTGTGTACACCAGTCAACAGCAGACTACTACCTGTACGAAATAACGGCTGCTGTTGGGTTGTGCTGTTAAGGTGCATCGAAATGTGTAAAACAATCCCCTCTCCTTCTATCCCGCTGCATTACAACATTGGGGAACACAAGCACGCCATGACACCCGCCCGTGCCATCACACACTTCCGTGGAGATAGAGTACGTTGGACATCGACGAACATGCAAAAAAAAACGTTTGCTCCCTCTTTTCTGTGGAAAGAGGCCTCTTTTCTGTGGGAAGGGGCGCACGATGAACCGGCATCACCAGACCGGGTGCAAAGAGTAGATGAAGTATGTACACCGTCTTTGGGTTCGTCAATGCAGATACGACACGCTCTGGGTTCGTCTATGTAGATACGACACGCTCTGCTCGACAAGTAGACCATTCTATTCTAGTGGTATATGTAGTCCATTGTATAGACTATGTGCTTCTCACTCTTTTTCTGTTTGACAGTGATTTTCACTTGGTCTGCTGTTCATGAACCAGCAGAAGTGCACACGCGCTTACCGTGTGACCATGGAACTTAGAGTTGTGCGGACAGCGTACAGTAGGTGGAGGATACGAAAAAGATATAGATGCGTTCCTGCTCTTGAGACCGCGGCGGCAGTGATGTAGGACAGCCGCGCACCTGCCGTACGAGGAAGGAAAATGAAATGCTGCCGAGAGGCCCATCTTGGGTTCAAAGACTGCACACGGCTCTCGGAATTTAAAAGATCGGAAACAACGAGAAACGGGTACACCCGGGGCCAAAATAACAAGATTTCGGGAACGCCAATCTTGAGCTGATCCACCTACTTTCCTACGCTCACGGCAGTGACGCAGCACCTCCCAACAAGCCCAAATCACGCAGGTGTGTTGGTTTAGGATATGGTTAGGGCCACTGTCAGATTATAAACGTGGGTGGCCAGCAGGAGACCGCATTCAGCCGTAAGCCCAAGTGTGCGCGGCCTTCACGAAATCGGCAACATGGTCGAGAGGAGGCACACGGGTGATGCATGTCGCCAGAAACGGGTACAAAAGTAACCACGGACGGACGGGTACCACGGTAACCAGAAACGGGTACTCCGCATACTTATTAGTTCCCGTCGGATATACCCGGTTATATCTGACCAAACCCGGGTACCCGGTAGGATCTTTTACTTGAAAAGAGAATGCTGTTCCCAGAAATGCTCATCACTGTACCGGGTATACTCGTGTTTGGTTGGCTAAGTTGCAAGATTCCTTGGATGCCCACCCTCCCCCGGTATACTAGATCGGGAGGTGGAATATTTTTTTGTTGAAAAACGCACCTGCAGTAGGCTCGTGCGTTGCTACCATTGGCCCGTTTAGTACACAGCAGTAGTATTAAAATATTTTGATTTGAGGTGTGGGGGGCGCCAATCAATGTGATGGACTCCGAAAAAAAAAGGGAAAACGACACAACTGAGTATGCCCTGGTCGAAAAGCGACGCACTTGGGTACACAGTCATAAACAGCAGTAAATGCACTCATATCATTGGTCAGCGCCCAATTTCACCCCGGTGCGTCCGAAAAGGCGCAGGGTATACCCTGCCGTGACTACTTTTCTCAACAACTGTACCCCGTTTTCGGAAATGTACCCTGACTATGCTTAGGCCCATTATGCTCCTTTTTTTCGTTTTTTATGCTCCTTTTATTGGAAAGCATATGCTGCAACAGTCAATTATGCCCATCGAATATGCTCCTTTGGTCTCGATATGCCCCCACCTATGCTCCGTTTTGGTAGCGGGACTATGCCTCAAATGCCTCTTTATGCTACCGTGCTACCGTATCACGCTTGTGTTTGTGGTGTTAATGATAATGCTTCGCCCAAGTTCAACAACTACTATCAGTCAGCAGTTTTGTGTTTTCGAAGACTCTCGGCTCTCGTTACCTTCATCACAGTCGTCTCACTCCTTCGAAAACTGGTCCCCAAAACGAGTACTACTCGAAGTAGTACGGAGTATATACGAAGTAGGAGTACTTCATTATCTGCGGCCAACGAGCTCTACATCACCAGTCTCAATGCGGAGCACCCACAGCAAGCGGAAGCGGCAATTCCTCAGCAGGTTAGCAAGATGAGACGGCAGAAAGCAAAAGCCAACCGTACCACTTTCTCCGCTGTAGGTCTTAAGGCCTTGCACTGTAAACCAAATAGCAAGGGCAACAGAAAAATACCTTCAAGCACTCCTGAGACCTGTTGTACTTAAGGAGGGCCGCCGCCTCAATCCGGTCTACGAGACAATGCTCCTGCCTGTCGTCCACGCAAGCACGAAGGACAGAAAACACCCGTTCCATGAAAGCGGAAGAGGGTTGGATCAAGGCTACGTCTTGGACTACGTTGTGCCAAGCAGATAGTTTAAGCCTGTTGTCATGCCAGAAAGCCCACAAATCGCAGCCGGCATCCGTCTCAGCCGCCGCGACGTTGTACGCATCCATCTCTTCTACGAGGGCGACCACGGTTGGTGTCACGAACGGAAGCACTTCTGCTAGGATGTGTACGTCCGACTNTGTCACGAACGGAAGCACTTGTGCTAGGATGTGTACGTTCGACTCCTCCAGTTGGTGCCCCTTCACGAACGTGAAGTTCAGCAGTCTCGCCCCCTCGAAAAGCCGGATGGTCGCGGGTTCCTTAGCTCCCGGATGGTCCCCGATTCTCGCGTATGCGTGGTACCGGACGCCGTGCATGTGAAAGATTGCCATCTTCTTGAGCCAAAGCTTGACGTTCTCCTGCAACCGACGAAAAGTACGAACACGATTCACGAGAGGGATGAAGACATGATGTACAAAATCGTGTGAAACAGCTGGGTGAAACTGCTCTCATCATGGAGGGGGGATTCAAGACAGCTGCAAATATTCTGGTCCGCCGACACACAGATTCACAAACGTACTCACGTCGACATTCAAGCTGTTGGCGTACTCCCTCACGAGCGCGTTCACGTTAGGCGTGTTGACCTTGTTCTCCAATTGGCCAGGGAGCAGAGGGTTCAAGGAGAGGGCCAGACCCTGGCGAACCCTTAAGATGGTTTCGTACGCCACAGGTAGCTACGATGACAGAGGAGGCGTAGGGTTCGCAACAGGAAAAAAAGAAAGTGCAGTGTAAGAACAGCGAACGACAAAAGGCGATGGAAGGTCAAAATACAAACGGCGAACGACGAGTACGGCACAAGCGAATGATGCACGTGAAATGTAAGATCCACCCGCGTAGTGCTTACCAGAAACCCGTCTCCCTCCAGCAGATGCGTAGCACGCGTGAGGTGGATCCCAACGTCCGCAGCTACCGCAAATTCCAGCTGCAAGACGAGCTCCTGGTGGATGTTGTCCGGCCGAACGTGTGCCAGCGTGTCCCTCATCGCAGCGGCCGACTTGGACTTGGACTCGTCGGCCGAAGTGAACTTGTTGACGAAGGACTTCATCTGCTGCCAGTTCCGCACCAAGCAGTCGTTCCGCTCAAAACGCGAGCTCCAGCGGTGCGACGGTGGCTTCGGAGGCGCCACCCCCCCCGTCTCTTGCAACCACAAGTCTTTCGCGTTGTGGCTGTGGCTCAGCAGGGTGTGCAAGTGGCCGGCGAACTTGTCGGTGTCATCCGAGTTCATCTCGTTGCCGCTGTTTTTGCAAAGGTGGGAAAAGCACCGCACGCCGGTAGCGATCCGAAAGTTCATTTTCAGCGTGTCGAGGGCCTTCAGGTTGGCGGAGCATCCGTCGAGCATGAAGCCGACGCACTTTTGCCGGTCCAACCTGTAGTCGTCCACCACGACCTTCATGACTTCGCCGTTGATGGCCGCAAAGTCCATGGACTTGCTCAGCATGCTCAAGCTAAGCACTCGCTGGGTAATCTGTCGACGTACCGATGCAGAGAGAGACAGAAAGAGAAACAGACAGAGAGAGAGAGGTGAATTAGGAGAACGCATGAGTTTGCACACTGCACGCGCCCCTCGTAAACAATGACGCTCCGGCCTTCGCGGTAAAACTACGCAACTACGCACAAATATCCCTGCAAATGTCCGCACGCGACCATTCTCACAATCGTCGTACCTTTCCTGCCTTGGTGATGAAGCGGATGCCAACCCCGAAGCACGCAGCGCGGTACGGCGTCTCGTTGAAAGTGATGGAGTACCGGGAGTCCCCAAGCTCATCGAGAATTTTCTTTTTCTGTCATGGCATGTGGCACGTTCGGGGTTGGGGCGTTGGGCGATTGGCGTGAGGGATGAGATGGTTAAACGCGAAAAAATTGATGAACGAATAAGCAAGGTGCCCCCACCCGAAACTCGGGAAAGTGAATCGTTGTTTTTGTCCTGCACAACGATCCATCGACTATAATACCTACCGTGCGCAACACCCCGCGGCCTCACCTCTTTGTTGAGAATGAACGGGATGTGGTTGGCAAGGTGTCGTGCCGTCTGGAGCCTTGCCCCCACGTGCCGAAAAAACTCTTTCTTCAACGGTTGGTCGAGAGCGTTGAGAGCAACCCCGCTAGACAAGCACGCCTCCACTGCCATCAACTGCGTCATCAGTTCCTTGGGGTGAAGACTATTGCCGTAGCTGCCTCCGGCGAGTTCAGAGTGTTCCTGGAACATGTCCAGAGACGTCTGTAGAGCACGAAGAGAAAACGTGCGATGAAGCAAAGATGCGTGCAACAACTAGCTGTTCACTTGACTGATCATGTTTCAAGCAACAAAGCTCACCATCACAAGACCTGATAGAATGTACTCCGTACTACGCAATCACACCACACAGCAGTAGAAAATATTGGAATATTTGAAAAAAACACGCGGGATTTCTCGAAAAAACAACGCGGTCATATGTACCGCTGATGTATCATGTTATCATATGCATCCAAAAAAAATCCAGATTACCTGTATGTCCGCTTGCTTCCTCGCGAAGTCCTTCACTGCCAGGGTGTGCTCCTTGGACAGACAGTGGTTCTTGACGGTGGATTTCTTTATCTGGAGCGACTTCTTGCATGCCTGGCAGTAGAGGCCGCCGCCCAGAACTTCCAGCCTCTGGCCCGGAAAGTCCTTGACCCTCTCGTGGGCACCCACCACAGGTTTGATAACAATCTTTTTCTGCCACAGCCTCCCACTCCGTGGCAGCTTTTTGCGCTTGCCTCCCACCGCGTCTCTCTCCTCTTCCTCTTCCTCCTCCTCCTCCTCTTCCTCCTCGTCGTCTCCCTCCTCACCATCGTCGCGTGGTTTCCTCCGATCTTTGTTTACTCTGACTACCCTGGTCTTGGCGATGTGGGCCGCTGGCCGGGGTGCTGCTTGGGTCGCTGCCGCTGCTTCCACCACCTTTTGGCGTTTGTTGTTGCGCCTCCTCGGTGGGCCGGGCACCCTTAGGACGGGCGCGTAAGGAACAAAGTTGAGTATGCTTTGCTGAACCGCACCAAGGCCACCGGAAGAGGGATCCTTCGGTGGATTCCTCCTCGTATCGGTCGATCCGCGCTGCTGCTGATCCGGATTCGAAGGCCGCACGACCTCCACCTCGGAGTCCGAGCTGGAACTTGAGCTTGAGCTTGAGCTTGAGTTAGAGCTAGAGCTAGAGCTGGAGGAGCTGGAGCTGGAGCTGGAGCTAGAGCTGGAGCTAGAGCTGGAGCTTGAAGGGCTAGAGCGTGCCATGCCGAGCAGTCCGCGCGCGGGCGTGTGTGCGTGTGGAGCCCACTGCTGTGTGCGTGTCTTCCGAGAGCGCGCGCGCGCCAGTTGTACTCCTTTAAGATCGTCTTCATGTCTGTCTTATGTGTATGCACTTATGTCAAGTGTGACACTCACATCAGATATCCAACGATCGAGCATCAGGCGGCAGGCGCGCTTAAGATGCCAGCGCACAACCACTATGCTCAGCAAAGGAGCCGTGTATGCTCCTCGCACAGACGAATATGCTTTTTGAGCAGAATATGCTCGAGCATTGCTATTTTTCAATTATGCTTTTTTTATGCTCCAAATGGCCAATTTTTCCAAAAGAAATGCTAGCATAATGGGCCTAAGCCTAACCCTGACCTGTCGGGAAAAAAGACCCTTTCATCAATCATTTCCCCCGCAGGAATCTTCCCAACTCCTTTTCCCCTCCAACCATGAGATAATAAACGGCGACTCTTCCCGCCCAATAACAACCATGACAACGGGGCAAGAATCAGTTTCCGCCCCTGCGAAACAACACCAACGGTCAATTGTTCCGCTCTACGTCAAAAATGGCCGGGCAACACGTACCCCAGCACATTCGTTCCGTTTGGAAACATGCACACACGCGTACGATACCCCGTGGACGACGGCGTGCTGCAGTGTATATGCGAGACGCACGGGTCAAGCTGTGAAAGCGAGACCGATCCAGCATGGTTGACATGAATGTGCATGTGTGCGTGCGTGGCGATGTGCTGGCGGCGAGCTCGCGCCCGCAGCGAGGGTGGAGGGGAGAGGCAGGACCAGCACACACAGACTCGCCCTTGACATCAATCCCGCACACACAAGTCTTATCCTTACTCTATTAATAGCAGCAGGACACTGCTGTGTCGTGCAACTCGATCACCGTCCCTGTCGGTAGAGAGAAGAAAGAGTGCTCGCGTTGTATTTCATCGGCTAATCCCGCTGAAGCCTGACGTTTTGTTACTACATTGATTGGCCGGCTTGGTCGGCTGGTAAGCGTGACCGCTGCCGCTACAGCAGTAGTTTAGGCAAGAAACACATCGCGATTGAGACAGTACAGACAACGCACGCACGCACACACGGCACATCGCAATTGAGACACACAGCAGACAACACATGGACGCACATATGCATATTTTTTCATGTCAACCATGCTGGATCGGTCTCGCTTTCACAGCTTGACCCGTGCGTCTCGCGCATAGACTGCAGCAAGCCGTCGTCCACGGGGTATCGTACGCGTGTGTGCATGTTTCCAAACGGAACAATTGTGCTAGGGTACGTGTTGCCCGGCCATTGTAGACTTAGAGCGGAAGAGTTGACCGTTGGTGTTGTTTCGCAGGGGCGGAAGCTGATTTCTGCCCCGTTGTCATGGTTGTTATTGGGCGGGAAGAGTCGCCGTTTGGTATCTCATGGTTGGAGGGGAAAAGGAGTCGGGAAGATTCCTGCGGCGGAAATGATTGATGAAAGGGTCTTTTTTCCCGACAGGTCAGGGTACATTTCCGACAACAGGGTACAGCAGTTGTTGATAAAAGTAGTCACGGCAGGGTATAGCCTGCGCCTTTTCGGACGCACCGGGGTGAAATTGGGCGCTGACCAATGATATGAGTGCATTTACTGCTGTTAATGACTGTTGTTGTTGTTTGTTGTTGTTTGTCACATTAGCAAAAATGGGGAGCCCGTGGTCTCAAAACCCGGCATATACGACGCCGCGGGAAAAAAAAACAGAAATAGGGTACAAACCACTCGGAAAAAGAAAACAAATGATGGAAAGAAAAGAACAGGTACGCATCGACCGTTCGAGAAAAGAGCCCTCGGAAACCGATCAAAATATAACAAAAACAAAAATAAAGGAGGACGCTTCCCACACTCGCCCAAAGAAAAAATCAAAGGGTAACGTACCAGCACCAGGCACTACGCACCAGGGCATGGGAGTAACGGAGCAAACAGGACAAAGAGGCGGCAGATGGGCAGACAGCCAGACGTACAAAAACAAAGGCAACAGCAAAGCGAGATGAAGATACCCAACACAGCAGAGTAGGCAGGGAGGTCATGAAAAGAAGAAACACAGCACAGAGGCCGAATACAAAGGACATACAAAAGGAGTATAGCATACAGCACGGAGGGAAACATGGCGCAACAACATCAGCCGGGTACATAGTTCGCCACAAGTGCTGCCTCGGCCGCCCTACTCGCTTCTACAACAGTGCCCGGTCGCCGTTTCTTCCCCCCCACCGCCGCTTCCCCGGTTCTCTTTCTCTTCGGTCCTGAGATGGCCGTACTCTCTGCTTCTGCTTCCCTCGCGCGCTGGC